GTTCATTTCTTTGTGGTGATCCCCGATAAAGCTGGGAATAAGTCAAAGGAAACAATTGTAACTATACTTAATTAATTGCACTCAAACAGTATTTCATTTCTACACTAATACTGTCCAAAAAGAATCTATAATTTACAAACTAATAATAATAATAATAATGTCTAAAATTAAATGTATATAAATGGTGACATTAAAATCGTTTTCTCAGAGTCTTTAATAAGAGGGCACAGACCTTTTTTTTTTTTTTTTTACATAGTCTATGCCACAGGCGCATTGTACATGCACGATAACCTTTAATGGTAAATGGCACAGAGGGGGACAGACATTTACATTAAATGCTCCCTGGTAACTGTGGGTTTACATTTCTAGTGGGGAATGAAACCTGATCAAATGGAAAATGATTCCTCTGTTTAATGACCTCTATTTATGATAAGAAAACACACCGTTGAAGTTCACAGATGTTGTTGCACTAGAGGAATGAAAATTGTTTTTTTTTCTTCCCAAGCTGACAAGGTAATCCTTTTTGTTCCCTAAGGGAAATTTAACAGCAGCTGACAGTTATTGCTCTCTACATCTGGAGGAGGTTGATAGCGCAGGGCACCTCATGAGCAGCCTGGCTCATGCCAGGTGTCTTTGATTGAGGACCCTCAACTTTGTTTTATTTCCATTCGGATGGAGTGCAGCATTTGTGGAGCTGCCTTTGCTCCATGTGTTTAACTTTGAAACGGGTGACGAATCCTGTCTGGGCTTTTTGCTTTGGTGTAAAATGCAACGAACCAGTAAAGCAAACAAACAGAGGGTAAGCAATGTTGCTATAGAAGAAAGAAAGGAAAAGCCGACACTGTTTCATGGAAAACAGAGGCGAAAACTCCAAGAACTGAATTCACAGTGAATACATAAAAGCTTAAATATACTTAGATTGTTTCGTAATCGAATCTCCACAATTGTTCAATAAACATTGTAATTGATAAAAGTAAAATAAAGCATTAGAGAGTATTTTAAGTTCCTGAACTGTTGCAACAGTGCTGTGTATCTTTAAAGAGTAGTCATTAAATAAAGAGTATGTAAGTCATGCTCTTAGGATTTTTATGTCGAGGGGCGTTTTGCTTCCCTCCAGTCAATTAAGGGAAAAATTTGATCTCCTTCATACACATTTTTTCGTTATTTGCAAATCAGCCATTTTGTGAAGTGTAATTTTGAACTGTCCAGAAAAAACATGTGTTTTATGATATCTTTACGAACCCCTATGATTCTAGACATCTTCTCAATTTGTGTGTTTATTTGAAAGTTGCATTACAGTATCTTCTGAGATTTAAAGTTGCCTGGGAAAAAGATTTGAGAATTAAACTCTCAGCAGACACATGGGACAATTGTTTGACTTCAATACCGCCATGCTCAGTCAACAGCAGACACCCACTGATTCAATTCAAAGTCATACATTGTCTACACTACACTAAAGCCAAGCTGCAAAAAATCTTTCCTTCTGCCTCACCAATGTGCAATAGACACAAGACAGCAGAGGACATGGTTGCTCACGCCTTTTACCCTTACTGAACAGATTCTAGACAAACATATTTGACTGGTACTCCAAGACTAGAATATAGCAGACCTTTTCTACCAGATGCTGAACTTGCCATCTTTGGCTTCTCACAAAACACATCTTCTCTCCCTCAAACAATGCAAGAGTCTTTAATGTAAGGCATGGTGGTGGCTAAAAGACTAGTGTTTAATAATTGGAAATCATCTTTACCCTATTCATTCCAGAACTGGATTTCTGACAAAGTATCTTTTATTCAGATAGAGAGACTCAGATTTTTAAAGACTAGCTACATAAGTACTTTTTGGCTACTTTGGGTCAATTTCTTGATTTATTTGGCAAATCTATATCTCAAGAGCAATCCACTGACCCCTCTGAGGTTTAAGTTATATACTCTATTAATTTTAATTGTATGTTTTGTGACTATGAAGTGGGTTTTTGTTTTTGCTCTTTGTTGTTTTCTTTTATATTGTCTTTTGTATGTCTACAGTACGGGCCAATGTTTGTTCTTGTTCTGTGTGTGTACAGTGCATCTGGAAAGTATTCATATCACTTCACTTTTTCCACAATTTTTTATGTTACAGCCTTAAAATAGATAAAATTTATTTATTTCCTCAAAATTCTACACACAATACCCCATAATGACAATGTGATTTTTTTCAGTTGATTGGATAGGATTTGAATAGGCATACACCTGTCTATATAAGATACCAGGGTTAACAGTGCATGTCAAAGCACAAACCAAGCATGAAGACAAAGGAAATGTCTGTAGACAGGAAGTTTACAGAAAAAATTCTGTTGCTCTGAAAGTTCCAATGAGCACAGTGGCCTCCATCATCTATAAGTGGAAAATGTTTGGAACCATCAGGACTCTTCCTAGAGCTGGCCGGCCATCTAAGCTGAGTGATCGGGGGAGAAGGGCCTTAGGGCCTACCCACACTATGCCATCCGTACCGTGCCCAGGCCCGTTTCCCGGATCGTTTGAGAAGTGTGAGTGCGCTGAATCGGGCTCAAGCACGGTTCACTTGGCCGGCCCTGGCCCGGTTGGAAGAGGTGTGCCTTAGCGCGAATCACTTGGGCTTTGGCGCGGTACGCTTGTGTGTGAGTGCGAAACGCGCCAAAGCCCGAAACTGAAAGCGAGACGTGACTTTTAAGGGGCTGTTTCATATGGATTTATTAATCATTCTTACTGTTCAGTGAACGCTAACTGCCGTAGTTTATTAAAGACGCAAACTCCTCACAGCACGTCAGCTGCGCGCCTTCAGCAGACCTCCTCATTCCTGCAGCACGAGAGCTTTATGATTGTTTATGAGCGCCAAAAGTGGCGGATCTGTTCAGCGAAATATCTGACTGCGTGTCCCCGCATCCCTAAGGACTGTTTGGCGAAATATTAAACTGCATGTCACTGCATGACAAACGACTGAAAGGATATAACTAGAGAAATCTCCACTGTGCTACTGGGTGAGAGCGTATGGCAAGCCGTTTTAGCATTTAAACCTTGTTCTGACTATCCATAAATATATTTAGAGATATCTCTAATTATATTTTGACTAGTCATAATTATAATTCGACTAGTCAGAATAACAATTAGAGATATCTGCAATTACAATTGTACTAGTACGTAATCAGATTGGAGATATCTGCAAATATATTATGACTAGTCATATTCCTCCATTGACTTCCATTGAAAAATATTTGCAGATATCTCTAACTGAGTTTTGACTCGTCAAAAATCCAATTCAAGATATCTACAACTGTAATTCGACTATTAGTAAATTAATTAGAGATATCTTCAAATATATTTGTAAATATCTCTAAATATGACGAATTAAAGACATCTCCAAATGTATTATGACTAGTAAAAACTCAGTTAGAGATATCTCTAATTACAATTGTGACTAGTCAAAACTCATTTAGAGATATCTGCAAATATTTTTCAATGGAAGTCAATGGAGGAATATGACTAGTCATAATATATTTGCAGATATCTCCAATCTGATTTCGTACTTGTACAATTGTAATAGCAGATATCTCTAATTGTTATTCTGACTAGTCGAATTATAATTATGACTAGTCAAAATATAATTAGAGATATCTCTAAATATATTTATGGAGTCAGAACAAAGATTTAAATGCTAAAAAGGCTTGCCATAGAGAGCGTTTCTGAACAGCGCAGCAGCGATGACGTAAGCGTGCCGAGGCCCGATATGGTGTGAGCGCGGGCCGTCGGGGGAGACGGGAGGGGGGACAAGCGTGCTTTGGCCCGGTTCGAGGCAACTGTACCTAGTGTGAGTACGGCCTTAGTCTGGGAGGTGATCAAAAACCTGATGGTTACTCTGTCTGAGCTCCAGCACTCTTCTGTGGAGAGAGTAGAACCTGACAGAAGGACAACCATCTGTGCAGCAATACACCAATCCGGCCTGTATGGTAGTGACTGAAATGCCAAAAGGCATCTGAAGGACTTTCAGACCATAAGAAACAAAATTCTCTCTTCACCAGGCTAATACCATCCCTACAGTGAAGCATGTTGGTGGCAGCATCATGCTGTGTCAATGTTTTACAGCAGCAGAAACTGGAAGACTAGTCAGAATAGAGGGAAAGGTGAACGCAGCAATGTACAGAGACATCCTGAATGAAAACCTGCTTCAGAGTGCCCTTGACCTCAGACTGGGGCAACTGTTCATCTTCCAGCAGGACTATAACCCAAAGCACACCACCAAAATATCAATGGAGTGGCTTCACAACAACTCTGTGAATGTCCTTGAGTGGCCCAGCCAGAGCCCAGACCTAAATCCTATTGCACATCTCTGGAGAGAGTTGAAAAAGGCTGAACATCATCGCTTCCCATCCAACTTGATAGAGCTTGAGAGGAACTGCAAAGAGGAATGGGCAAAAATTCCCAAAGACAGGTGTGCCAAGCTTGTGGCATCAAATTCAAAAAGACTTCAGGCTGTAATTGCTGCCAAAGGGGCATCAACAAAGTATTGAGCAAAGGCTGTGAATACTTATGTAAATGTGATTTTTCCATTTTTTTGTTTTTAATAAGTTTGTAACAATTAAAAATTAATGCCATTGTCATTATAGGGTATTGTGTGTAGAATTTGGAGGAAATAAATGAATTTAATCCATTTTGAAATAAGGTTGCAACAAAAAAAAGGAGGAAAAAGTGAAGTGATATCAACACTTTCCGGAAACACTTTAGTTACATTATGTAAAAAACCTTAAAATAAAAAATTAATAAATACACTTTTTTTAAAGTTACACTCTTAGGACAGCAGTGCCATTTACCAAGAGAGAAGATCTCCCACATAAGCACTCCAAAAGACCACACGTCACTCTGAGTAGTATAGATCTTGTCAAAAATGGCCTCTGGCGCCATCCACTTTAAGGGAAGTCTAGCCTGTTAAAAAAAAGATAAGCACATTATGTCAGAGCCACTGTCACCTGTAAAGCTACCATTCCCAATCATTATTCCGCATTCAATATCGTGTAGCTTATAAAACACTGTCTATTTGATTATACAATCTGTGTGACGTCTTGGCTCACACTTGACCACAAGAAAACATCCTTTGACCAGAACAATATTTTCAGGGCTTATAAAGTGACTATCAGCATGCCAAAGACTCTTGGCATTCACAGAATTATTTTATCTTCGTCCAGATGAACATTCACAGCGGCAGTGGTTTTTGGACTGTTATCATTTGTGTCCATCACACTAAGTAGTTTTGAAACACTGTGTGCATTATACAGACTCGCTTCACCATGTATCCGTGACCGACATGAAGTAATTGGATAATCTACCACACTTACGTCTCCTTTGCGGACATAGTCTGGGTCCTTGTATACATCTCTTGCAAGTCCAAAATCGCAAATCTTCACAACATTGTTTTCAGACAGCAGGATGTTACGTGCAGCCAGATCACGGTGGATACACTTGTAGAAGAAAAAGAAAGATCCTATTAGATTGTGATATGCCCTCTACACCTTTATTTTTCATAATGGATGATTTAACAATGGAAATATGTTGTGTATCCACTTTATTTTTGATCATACTTCAACAAACTCGGCAAAGTGTCTGTAGTGAAGATGCGTTTTCTTTTTTTTGTCTTATTTGAACCATGTGTGGCATTGTGCTGTCAGAAGAAGCACATGATGGAAAGCTGTGATAATTTAAAACATGTGGAACTGCCATTGGTGAAACTCTGACCTGAGGTGAGATCTGCATCTTTAGTTCGTGCCAGCTAATCTCATCTGCTGGATGTGCGTCTTTGAGTGTGTTGGATCAATAAAGTAATTTGGGTTTTCATATTCTGCAGTTTTGGACAGAACTTCTCAGAGAGTTGCCAAAATAAAGTGATTGATTGTTACTATAAAGCATAAAAAGCCAGAAAATTGTTTAAAAAGGAAATTGGTATTAAAATGAGCTGCCACAACAAACTAAGAATACAACGATTCATTGAGCCATTTTTCATGAAATCTTGAATAGGAAAAGCATGACTCTTACTTTTCTCGAAGCCAAGAACTCCATGCCTTTAGCCACTTGAAAGCTGTAGCAAATCAAGTCTTCCAATGTGAGCACTTTCTTGTACAAATCCTCTTGCTCTGCAAGAAAAAGGGTAAAAGAGCATCAGTGGCTAATCAAAACCATTGTTTTGTTACACAATTTCCCCCCGGAAAAAAGGTATTTTTATACGAATCTTTGAGTCTGCATTGTCTATCAAGCTCAAGGATCCCCAAATTCCTTAATACAGTCATAAATCTACTGTTTACTATCAGTACATCCGATAGGGAGACACAATAAAACGACTTCTTAATATAGATGCAGACAGCAACGTGCAGTTCGTCAACGATCCTAAAGTGAGCGGCTTGTGGGTGGGTCATCCACCTGAGTAAACAGTTTATCAAACCAGAAATAACCGGCGTGGGACTGCGCAACCTAATGTACCCATAGCAGTCTTGTTCTAGTCTTGAGGCAGGAAATTAGAAAAAGCTTTGTGCGCAGTGGGTGACATTGCTCGTACAAAATATCAGTTGTATTTATGATTCCCTGAGGAAGCCACCTATCAAATTGAAGGGGAAAAAACAATCAGCGGAGCCTTGAGAGGAGAGAGGGAGGGGCGGAGGTGAGGCAGAGGTTGGGAGGGAGGAGGGGAGAAGGGAAGGAAGACACTCAGTCGCTACCTTCCTCCTCTTCCTCCGAGTCGCAGTAGCTCTTATCTTCAATGAAGCCGGAGCTGGCTGAACTTCCGGTGCTCGCCACGCTCTCCAACCTGCGCTTGATGAGCTCGCTCAGATCACAGCCTGAGCTGGAACGCACAGCCTTACCGTCCTGAGACTGAGGGGAACACACTCTTGTCAATGTTATTCTTAGCATGTCAAATCACTGCTGAAATGAACAGGAGGCGTCACTGCTTACCTTGTAAACCACAAAGTCACCTCTCTTACTTCTCAGGTAGTTGGAAAGATTTCCATACTTGCAGAATTCCACGATAATCATTAGGGGGCCTAAGTGTAAATCAAACCAATTGTTAAAACTGAGCAGAGAAAAAGTTGAATGTCTAATCTTATCATCCTCCTCTTACCGCCACGCTTTGTGCAGGCTCCTAGCAGGTTAACCACATTGAGATGATGCCCAATATGGATCAGTATCTTCAGTTCAGACATTAAGGCTCTCCATTCGTTATTTGTTGCTCCCACTGTTAAGCGTAGAGGAAGTTGGAGGAGAGGATAAAAGGAAAAAACTAATTATTGCAATGTCCTGCGTGGTCGGAAAGGATTTTTGTTTGGATTGTTAGAAAAATGTTTGATTACATTGTGGTGTGTCTCAAGCATGCAAGGCTGACCATCCTTTACTCGGGGTTTCTGCAGGTTTATCAATACTGAAGACGCTTTAATACCCCCTTTTAAGACCATTATAAATTAAATTTAAGAATTTTACAAGGCTAAACATTAAGGATTTTTGATAATGGACCAGTTGGAACAACTAAATTTTTCATTTTTTTTGCCTGCCACAAAAATCAAATGTAACTATTTCTTAGCCACATGTTTTAAGGTGTCAACACAAGAAAACTCTAGTTGTATAATGTTTTTTTAACGTACATGTTTAGCTTTTTTAATGACAAGTTTTACATTGTTAAAAGTATATTTATTACAGAGAAATTACATGAATAATCATATATATATATATATATATATATATATATATATATATATATATATATATATATATATATATATATATATATATATATATATATATATATATATATATATATATATATATATATATATATATATATATATATATATATATATATATATATATATATATATATATATATATATATATATATATATATATATATATATATATATATATATATATATATATATATATATATAGATATATATATATATATATATATATATATATATATATATAT